TGTAAGAATCTCTTGTGCAATATACGGAATATATTGACCAGCAAAAGATTCACCAGCTAAATAAATATCGTTTTGAATTAGTTCTGGAAAAACTTCGATGTATCGATCGAGAAAACTGAGAAATTGATTTGCCATTGTATTGAGTTGATGAATAAACGAGTCTGTATCAATATAAGAAAAGCCAGTACCAACAGGCTGATCAATAAATAAAAGATTGGCAAACGTATTCCAGGATCCATTATTTTCAATTATTGTATTTTCATCTTGAAAGCGGAAAGGGCCGATTTCCGCCCAAGCTCCGATGAGACTACTACAACCTGGACCTCCATTAAGCCAAATTACTGTTCTTGACTTGTAACTTATATTTTTGGTTGCAAAATGCCAGAAGAATAAAGCTCCATGATGTTGTGGATTAACAGGTAGATATCCAGCATGCATACGAATAGAAGAAGCCTCTTTAGGTAAAAGTGGTAAGTCATGAACATAAAAATCCGTAGCTTGTAAACTGTTCACTACATGATGGAGTATAGGAAGTACTATAAGCAACTGTATAATCATGAGATACATATAAAACAGGCGTGTTCTCTATTTTATTTAAAAAAAAATAAAAGATAAAGTTGTATTCAAGTAAGTATGCTGCTTGAAATGATCTAGAATTTAAATAAATATGTAATAGAATTTCATGATACAAAAATAAAAACTAGCTTTTAAAGACATAAAATTCACGACTAAACTGACTGATTATACTTGCTGAAATATTTGATGAACAAATTTTTATGTCGCTATGTGCTGATATGATATCATATTCAATCCAAATCTCACTTGGTTTTTACCAAGAGAGAAGAAAAAACAGAAGTATGTTATTGCCACATCTCACAACTCCTGAGTAAGAAACATCATGAAAGATGTTACAAAATTGTGCAAAGAAATTCATATTCTCGCTGGTTTATCGCTAAGATTTCACATATTTATGGTGCAGTTCCAGATTACTGACAGGTCTTTGATCACATAATTGTTTAGACTATATAATCAATTGTTTAATGAAATAAAGTAAGAATCGATTTTTAGAAATCTGAAGTTCTAATTTCACGTCTATTTAATCGTATTTTTGATACTCATGACAAAAGACTTAAATAACAATTCAATGTCTGCTGATTTCTTTCACAACGAATCATAATATGGCAAATTTTAACACGAATAAGTATTATAAAGAATATAAATAATAAGTAGACAATGATTAATAGTCGAACTACATATGTATGTATAAAAATCCAAGTTAATGATGTTGTTGTGTTTTTTCTCGAATGGCACATATTTTATTTCTCTTCTTCTTGCATTTCAAAGAAATAATTAAAATTTAGTGTAAGCAATATGATTCATAATATTAATATGCGCAACGAATGACACATCCAATGAAGATTATCTTCAATATTTGAGCACTAGAAATCTAATTATTAATTCAAGTGTTGATGCTAAAGTTATGATCGAAAGAATATTCACAGCAAATAATGAATAATCAATGCATTCAATTGTCACTGGAACTCTTATCATTGTATTAAAAATATATTTTAAGTTAAGCCAGCAGGATGATTTCAATTTTATTGAATTTGATTCTGATTATAAATGAGTAAAATCTCATAAAATAGATGCCTGAAAGTACCTTTAATTTTTCTTTTCAAAAGTTGTTTTTCTTTTCATGTTTGGTTTATACATAACTGTACAGACTCTGTTTATTTTAATTATTACTTGAAATAACGTACTGCACGAAAAACTCCACGTTTGCTTTCAGAATAAAACGTTTGTATTGTTTTTTTATTGCACTTTTTTTTTATTGAAAAGAGAACGAATCACGAAATTAAACGAATTATGAATCATAGTCCTATTCAAGAAAATGAAGTTGGAATCTACCAAGTATTTATTTCAATACTGCTTGAATTATTTACAGCTGCTTACTCCTTTTGTTTTGTCATATTGTCAAGTGCTCTGCAATGCTAAGGCTTATCTTTATAAGTATAATTAAGTCGAATGCAATGCCTATCAGATTTTGTAATTGATCAACAAGATTGTACGACTGTAAACAATATCATTGTGACTTTCACTTTGTACTCACAGAAATACGATTGAAAGTGAATTATTTACAGTTGTTTTTTTTTGTTTATCTTCAAAAACATTCAGAGACTATGAATCATATATGCTTGTAAGAAAAATATCCACTGTTTCATTCATGTTAGAACTTTCCATATTAAAATATAAATGTTTAAGCTTCAGCTTTTCTTGTGTAGGTTATGAAGAACATTTTCGAGCGAGAATGTTAGACTGAACACTATATTGACAGACTTGTCTAAAAAAATAATTATAATCATTTCAGCTACGTTCTTCAAATACTCTACGAATTGATGTAAAAAAACTGATAATATAATTTAACGAGACAGTTTCTTGAGGTAACAGGAAACTTTCGATGTATGCGTGTATCCATTAGGTAGTTCATGAAAAGTTAGTAATAATTGACCTTGTTAGGGCAGTCTGTGGTATTTTTGCACGAAGACGCTTAATTCTTATGATGGTTTTTTTCCATAATCCGATATCGGGTAAAATTCGATTTTTAAACTTTCACTTTAAACTTGTCACAATGGTAGCGCAGGCTTATACTAGGATATAAGCGAGCTCGTTCTCTTTCTTCGTCCACACATGAACCTTCACACACTCAATCAATGGCTCTCCATGTGATAACCATAAAAAAGAAACAAAAAAATCAAGGATAGCCTAGTTTCATAGTAGTCCTACATTTTCGATGTTCGTATATTTTTTGAAAACAGTCGCATATTCCTTAAATAACTACCTTTCACTTAGTGACATATAATTAAATATTGTGATCAAAGTTAAAATTCAGTTAAATTTTAAAGTTGCTCAATGAAACAAAAATTTCAATTTTGATTCAACTGAACAAATTTTCTTTTTGACGCACAGTAAAAGGTAATAACAGACAAGAAATTTGAAAAAAGTCAACATTTCTTCATTTAACAAAATTTATTAATAAATATTATCAAAAGATTGTGAGTGAAATAGGAGTCGTGCTCTTATCCACATACAGATTCAAAACCAAACAACTATACAGAAGAGACAATCCATGTCCATATTGACAATTACATTTGGATGTTCTAGATAGGAGTATAACGAAGCCAAAGTATTGAGATTTGGCCTTATTTAGTTCCGATTTGATATCAAAATTGTATTTAGGTTTGGTTTCAAACGACTCGTATCTCAAAAAAGTGCGATACAATCAGGAAAAGATTTCATGATTCAGAGCCAAGTTTGTAGTATCTGACTTTAGTCTTGGACAAAAATAATATAATTATAGTTTTCATTACGATAAAAGTCATCTAATTGCAATCTATTTATGTGGATATGATTCAAAAACAAATCCAAATCTAAATTCAAACTTAAGTTACCAAGTTCCTTAACTCAAACACCCTGCCCTACATCCATACTTTTTGTTACCGAGATTTTGCCTTTCTCCTTTCATCAAAACAAATTTTAATTTTGACTGAATTTTAAGTTTGACCACAACATAAATCTTTTGATTACATACTGTCAAGTGTGTTAATTACTATAATCATAGTGAGAACAGATATAGTTTGTATTTTATAAACCAAAAAAAAACAGCATTTTTATGATATTTATTCAATTTGATTGTATTTATATTTTTAGACAAAAAAAATTTGTTTCACTGTTTTTCACAACTTGGAGATTTTTTTTTCATTTTGTTCATTCGATATAAATAGTGTGATATGCATAGAGGCGAACAAATATTATAAGGATAAGGTGAAACCGTTCATTAGCTGAGAGTAAAATATTGTTCAAAGTTTGGAAGAAAAAACGCACGTAATGCTTGAAATTCATAAAAGTTCTACCAAATGTATAAGCAGAAAAATATTCCACAGAAACTATTTCAATTGCAAGAAACCACCATATTCGATGGATAATCTCAAGGTCATTCTTTCTTTGTAATTGCATGGAACAATCAAAACTTATTTACTGATTCTTGACTATTTGAACTTTAATTGTCAGTAATCAATTGTGTTTTATAATAATCGAATGAAATAATGGATGAGCATCGATTTTTGGAAACATGAGTGTTAATTGATTACTCTGCTTTTGAAGGTAATCGATAAACAGTAATAGATAAAAAGGTACTAATGATGTTCGTCAAATCCGATTTAGAATGAGTAAACAACGATTGAAATATATGATTTCTGTATCTGAACAGTGTTTGTAATTTTTGATTGTTGCAGGTCATTCACAACCGAACTTGTAATGCTAAAAAAACTTGACTCACATTTTTGAATGAAATTTCTAAAAGAAAGACATGACGTAAAGAGTCATGATCATATAGAGAAGAGGAAGTAGAATTATGAAACTATTCATGATAATTCATTCGCTTTTATGAATAATAGATTCAGTTTTATATGACAGCCAACTTGCGAGTGGCAAAATCTAGAATTTTCAAAAAGATTGAATAGAACTTATCGGTAGCGAAACCCATTTTCTATATATTTTCACATTCAAATATTGACTCAATAATGTTCTACAGTGTCTTATCATTAAGGAAATCGAGACCTTTTGTCTCATATCACTTGAAACTGAGCTAGTTATTTGAAGAAAATCATAAAGAAGAAGTTTTTTCAAATTTCATTTGAATACAATTAAAAAGTATGTTCACAAAATTACATCACATTTTTTTAACTCAACTTCGAGAGAAAAACAATAAACACATGACTTCTGTTTTGTTAAATTTTTTTGTCCTGTCATTTTCGATTTTCATCGTAAGTCAACATTCATGAATGGCGCAGATAGCCCGTGATTTCAACATTGTTGTGCAATGTTCAAGTGAGTAGCAACTCTACACCAATACATAGTTACTAGACATACATATAAGTTACATATAAATCACAAAGATTTTTCATTGTAACCTGTAAAAAGAACGATCAAATTAGCAAAATATGGCACACGGTATAGCAGATGAAGATCCGACAAAAAAAGAAATTATCGATCCACCTGAGGTTCTCGATCAAAAACTTGATCAATTGGCCGATTGGATTCGTAATGCTAAACATTTTATCGTGTTCACTGGTAAGTCGAATACAAGTTTCGAACCAATGATGTAATAAAAAATTGTAATTATTATAGGTGCAGGCATATCGACATCTACAGGGTGAGTACGACTGATGACAGGTTCGCACCGAGATATTTTCTGAAAGCGAATCTAACTCTCGAAAAAGTAAGAAGTTAAGTTTCCAATATAGTAACAAAAATTGCTTCGTGAAAATTTTCCCGTACGTCTCTCAGCAAGTTTCTGCTAAGAAAGAGATAGGCTAGAGCTTCATAGCTCTCTTTGATGTGTCTGTGAGTCTTGTAGATGGTTTTAATCTTTCCTGTCATGTATATGAATAAGAATTGCACAACATGTCGAAGGATTGAGGGTTGTATTATTATTTTGTAGAATATCATTATTGTTATTTTTTGTTTTAGTATTCCTGATTTTCGATCTAGTATGAATACTATTCTACCAACAGGACCGGGTGTATGGGAACTTCGTGATCATCCTGGTGCTAAACGTTCTCCAACGGCTTTAACAGTTACTTTAACAAAAGCAATTCCATCAACCACACATATGGCATTGGTCGAATTGGCTCGTCAGAATCTTCTTCACTTTGTTGTCTCTCAGAACATTGATGGTCTTCATTTAAGATCTGGGTTGCCTTCGCCCTTAATAGCCGAGTTACATGGTAATTCTAATTTGGAAATATGCAAAAAATGTCAGACGAAATATTTGCGTGATTTTCGAACGCGAACTGCCCTCAAAGCTCATGAACATCAAACAACTCGTAAATGTCCCAAATGTCGTTCGACACTGTACGATTCGATTATCAACTTTGGAGAGAATCTTCCTAAACAAGAACTTGAAGCAAGTTTTGAACATGCAGAAAAAGCCGATGTTTGTCTCGTCTTAGGCTCTTCATTATGAGTTACACCAGCAGCAGATATTCCAGAATTAGTCGGTAAACGCGGTGGCAAGTTAATCATTGGCAATTTGCAATTGACTCCATTGACTGAATTGGCCAACCTGAATATACATGCTCTATGCGACGATATTATGCGAGGACTGATGGCTAAATTAAACATGCCCATACCTGAATGGGAACTTCATCGACGAATACGTATTACAATTAAAAAACAAACCATTAAGATTATCGGTCTCGATCCTGATCAAGACATTCCATATACACTTTTTTCGAGAGTAAGAATACTAGTTCGGCAAGGAACTGCATCGAAATATGAATCTCAACGACTCACAGGTCAAGAATTTATAGAACACAAAATACCAGTGAACAATAACACTGGTAATATGGATGTTTATATTGAATTGCATTGGCAAGGTCATTACAATGAACCTCTGTACACAGTTCGAATGCGATTGACAGATTCGACCAAAGATGTACATTTATTTTACAATCCAAAACGTGGTGTGTGGCGTGAGCAATAAAGTGTATATGTTGCAAATTTAAAGAACATTTTTTGTAAGAATTTTAAATATTTGATTTTTACTCGTTATATGAAATAATTTCACTAATATTTTATATTGTAATAGCGGCTTTAGAAAGTTGTATTATGTTCATATACTGACAAATTTATTCGATGCTACGTTGGAATTATTTCTACAAGTAGTCACTAGTAGAAATAATTGTTCACGAGTGAGCAAAACTTCACACAGCTTTCGAACACCCAAACTCAATCAAATTCTTTAGCACCGACAGAATTTATCCGTTTGATGTTAATCATCGTAATAATAATAATTAAAAATTCATATACATCTTCTGAAATATTCTATGAAATCTCATGTCCAATGTCCACTTTTGACACATCTCAGATATTCACAGTTGATAACACGTAGTTGTGTTCGTATATTCTCGATCGAATTACTAGAACAATATGATATGAGTACATTGTTAGGCATCGTTGAATATAAGGAACATCAATTTCTTGTATGATATTGCTGAACACTAGCAAAGAGCTTTCAGTTATTCTAAAGAGTATATAGTTCTCACTTTTGCATCCTAATAAGGATCGTTTCAATAATCTATCTTCCCATTAGATTTCACATGAGTGTGAAAAAAGAGAATACTGATAGTCAAAGCCTGAAAGCTTTGTTATTTTATATGATTTTTACTTCAAATAATTCGAACAAAGATGAAAACATGTTCGTGTAAATAAATTATAGCCTATTATTTTGCACATTCATTACGAGAAATGCAGACACTATTAGTACTGTTATTGATGCGCACATAATCTTGACGACAAAAGCAGCCAGTGACACATTGTTCAGTACAAATTTCAGGCTTGTAATTACATGTTTCGACACAGGCTGAACCACAATCTGTAAATACCTCGTTCTTGCCACAGCATTGTTCGCGTCTAACACATTTACCCTCCCTTGAACGATAAAAATCCTTCTTACAGAAGCAACCTGTCTCACATACTGCAATACACGCGATATCCGGTTTTGGAAGTGGATACGACCAATCTTCACATGTCGGTGGGCACGCTGAACCGCATGTCAAGAATTCTTCATTCTCGCCACACTTTGGAAAGTCGTCTGCTATTCCACATTCTTCCCGTTTGACGCATGGGCTGCCAGTCTTGTTTGATTCTCGTACATATCCTTTTTTGCAAAAGCATCCGACAGCACACATAGCTACACATATTTCGGGCTTGTACGTACATGTTTCGATACAAGGCGAACCGCAAGTGGTAAACTGTTCATTCCGACCACACACAATTCCTGTATTTTGAATATAAAATCAAGTTGCGTTGAATGAAATGTATTCAATTGGCAATTTACAGTACCTCCGCCTTGAGCAGTAATGACAGTCACCAATAACAAGAAGAAGCTTGTATAGAAAATCAAGGTCATGTTTTAAATTCGGTGAATCGAATAGGGAATAAGTATTCTAACATACGCTTGCGAAAATGATTACAGTATTTATAGGCATTCGAACAAAAACAGAATGTAGATAAGTGAAATATGAGTAGATACCATATAAAAATTAATAGAGCCAGGTGGTTGCTAGTGAGGATTAGCATTGATCAAAGTGTCAATACATATTGTGTGTATGATATACTGAATAAAATTCAAGCACGAAAGAGAGTCGGATTATAATAGTCTTATATTAAATAAATCAATAATAATAACAGCTTTCTCTCCGTAATGTTTCTATCGGCATAATCTGCCTATCAACATGGTTTCTTTTTTATCGATAACTTCTAAAATGAGACCAATAATTCTATGAAAAGAATAAATATAATTATGGAGAACTGTTTGGTCAATGTTCATATGGAATCAATTCATTAGATTTTGTGCCAAATATCCTATTCCCATGTTTAGTAGTGAATTCACAAACCTGAAATTAAAAAACAAAAATAGGACGAAATAAAATGATGATTGTACATAATAAAAAATGAAAATGTCAGATTTGTAAAACTGTAATTCATAAGCAAGGTAGAACGTTGATTGTCTAGAAAGAGTCATCTAACTTCATTTATGTTGCTGATAGTATGAATAGTAATTGGATCCTCAATTATGCAATTGACTATTCACTAACGTACTGAAACTACTCTTGTTTGACAATATCCAAATTATTTCACTTGCAAATAGATCGATTTTACATCCAATTTTTTTTTCATGATGAAAAGCATAATTCTCATGAATCATGACTATTTTTTTCGTTGACGTAGAAAAGATTTGACGCATATTCCCACCTACATGCGCATCATTATGAAAGAACAGACAAAAACGAAAATATCATGGCTTGCTGCTCCCATACAGAACAGTGAGAGAGCGAGAGGGAAAGTATTCATATAAGAGCATAATATGTAATCATATTCACTATCGTAGCAATTAATATTACCCCTGTTGAAGCTCGTCAGCTATTTTTAATAAACGTAGGTGAAATACATACAAATATATAGACTATTTTCGAAAATGAAATATTTAATGCACTGTGTCTAGTGCTGTATTTATTACGATGATTGCAGACTATAATATTACTTATCGCACAAAATTTATTAGTATTTTGTGTAATTGATATAAACATAGTCTATTATTTTAAAAAATTATTTCGTTCAGTTTTATGAGTCATATCATACTTAATTTTGGTTTTTGATAATGCAGTAAAACTCTAACTAATCTTTGATTTTGATCTAGATGTTTATCACCATTTGAAGTGTACAATTATTATACGCATATTAGAAGAAACCTTCTATTAACTAATTTATCCACAATGAATGAAACGAAGAATGTAACATCCACCAAGCCCAAATTATCTTTTAAATTAGTCGGTCTTCTAGTTCTTATCAACATAAAAAAGAAACCGATTTCATCCAGAAATGCGACTGCAACAAAATTCAACCGCAGTTATTCCACTAAGTCATCAAGAATTCATGCAATTCAAAATTTCAGGCTCATATGGTTAGATTCAAGTATAGATGACTCGAATGTTGATTTCAATAATTCACTTAACCAATTTCGACGAATCGTTAATAATATCAATACATTCACTACTACAGACCAATGTTTTGACTTTCTTACTCAAATTGAAAACGAAAAAGTGTTTATGATCATATCTGGTACACTTGGTCAAGTAATAGTACCTATTATTCATCACATGTCTCAACTTAATTCCATCTATGTATTTTGTGAATATCAGTTGAAACATGAACAGTGGGCGAATGAATGGACGAAAGTGAAGGGTGTATTTTCTCAAATTGATAATTTATGTGATATGCTACTATCTGATATTCGTCAATATGATCGAGATACAATTTCGATTAGTGTCACAGGCGACGATTTGAATCGCCTTGATCCATCGTTTATGTATACTGAACTACTTAAAAAATTGTTTCTTGAAATGGAGTACGATGGTGACGTCAAGAAAGAGTTTGTCGACTTTTGTCGGGAACAATATCGTGACAATCCTTATGAATTGCAAATCATTGATGAATTCGAACATGATGGCGGAGCACACACACCTATCTGGTGGTACACACGTGAATGTTTTATCTATAAGATGCTTAATCGTGCTCTTCGAATACAAGACGTAGAAATCATTATCAAGATGAGTTATTTTATACGCGACGTTCATCTTAATATCCAAGAAATTCATTCTCAGACAATTTATCAAGATTTATTTACTGTTTATCGTGGTCAAGGAATGTCATTGGAAGATTTCGACAGAATAAAGAACAGCAAAGGTCGTCTGTTGGCATTCAACAATTTTTTGTCTACTAGCCTTGATAGAAAAGTCTCATTATCATTTGCTAAAAACTCATTGCAGAAACCTGATTTCGTGGGCATACTTTTCGAAATGACGATCACTCCGTCTGTTCCATCGACTCCATTCGCTGCAGTAAGTGACATCAGTGCCTTTTCTAGCGAACAAGAAATTTTATTTTCAATGCACGCTGTATTTCGTATATGTGAAATCGATCAATTAGAAGATCGACTATGGCGCATTGAGCTCACATTGACAAGTGATAACGACCAAGAACTACAACTTCTTACAGAGCACATAGAACAAGAAATCCAAGCATCAACTGGATGCCATCGACTCGGTGAATTGTTACTACGTATGGGCAATTTTGAAGATGCTGAAGAAGCGTTTGAGAAATTACGAGAAGAAACAAGTAACGACGATGTGAAAAATCTTGCTAATATATATAGTCAACTTGGACGCATAAAAAATATCAAGGGTCACTATCAAGGAGCACTTGAATATTACAAAAAACAGCTTGAAATTCAACAAAAATCACTTTTACCAAATGATCAGGATTTCACTGCTACCTATAATGATATTGGCGATGTCTATGCTAATATGGGAGAATACTCGAAAGCACTTGAATTCTATCAACAGTCGCTTGAAAATGCACAAAAACATCTTCCATCGAATAATCCTGCATTAGGTGCTACCTATGATAACATTGGTGAAATCTATGAGAACATAGGAGATTATTCAAATGCCCTTGAATTCCACAAAAAGTCATTAGAAATACAACAAAAATGCCTTCCACCTAATCATCCAGAGTTGGGTGCTACTTATAATAATATCGGAGAAGTGTATGCTAACATGGGTCAATATTCAAAAGCATTAGAATGCTACCAAAAGTCACAGGAAATCCAACAGAAGTCTCTTCCTTCTAATCATCTTGAACTTGCCATTACATATCATAACATTGCTGCAGTACATGATGACATGGGTGAATACTCGAAAGCTCTTGAGTTCTATCAAAAGTCACTTGAGATTCGACGAAAATCTCTTCCTATAGATCACCCGGAATTAGCTTCTACCTATGATAACATTGGTGAAGTGTATGAAAATATGGGCGATTACTTACAGGCGCTCGAGTTTCATAAGAAGTCATTAGGAATACAACAAAAATGTCTCTCACCTAATCATCCAGAATTGAGTACTACTTATAATAATATTGGAGAAGTGTATGCTAACATGGGTCAATATTCAAAAGCTTTAGAATGCTATCAAAAGTCACAGGAAATTCAACAGAAGTCTCTTCCTTCTAATCATCCCGAACTTGCTACTACTTATCATAATATTGCTGCAGTATATGATGACATGGGTGAATACTCGAAAGCCCTTGAATTCTACCAGAAGTCACTTGAAATTCGACAAAAAGTTCTTCCTGAGAATCATCCTGAATTGGCCGCTACTTATAATAATCTTGGAGAAGTCTACGCTAATATGGGTGAATACTTGAAAGCGCTTGAATTTCATGAAAAATCCCTTGAAATTCAACAGAAGTCTCTCCTACCGAATCATCCAGATTTTGGAGCTATCTATAATAATATCGGCGAAATCTATGCTAAAATGAGAGATTATTCAAGAGCACTCGAATTTCATCATAAGTCACTGAAAATTGAACAACAATCTCTTCCTTCATATCATCCAGAGCTAGCAACGACCTATCACAATATTGCTGTAGTATACGAGAACATGAAACAATATTCGAATGCACTCGACTTTCATGAAAAATCACTTGAAATTCGACGACATTGTCTTCCACCAAATCATCCGGATTTTGCTGCTACTTTCAACAGTCTTGGCGAAGTTTATGTCAAAATGAAAGAGTACATGAAAGCACTCGAATTCTATGAAGTGTCACTAGAAATCCAACAGAAATCTCTACCACCAAATCATCCTGATTTTGCTGCTACGTATAACAACATTGGGGAAGTTTATTGCAAGATGGGACAGGATTCTATTGCACTCATATTTTACGAATGTGCCGTTGAAACCGGACAAGAAGCTCTACCCGAAAATCATCCATGTCTTCAGATTTACCGAAATCATTTGACTGAAATGCAAAGAAAAGCATAGTTGATTTTCATGTAAATAAATAAAATAATGCTCTTTATATTGACTATGATTTGTAACAATGCCAAAAAAGCAATATCGTGTAATGTCGACCAATGCTTGTGGATGCAGGTGTGTGTGTAGGAAAATAATCACACCCACACCCACACCCTTAAGGCGATGTGGTGAAATCACGTCTTGCACTATACATTGCTCCACACACAGCACCATTCGTATCTGCATCACCACTATATCGAATAAGATCATTAACTGTTGTTTGAAACGGTTTTGTAGATCTCAATCCATAGAAACCTGATGCTAAACATTTACAAGTATATCCAATGCTTCGTAGTTCATCAAGGTTAAGCTCTTCTAAAGTTCGGTCCTTACGTATACACTATAAGAATTCTTCTTAATGCTCAAAACTTAGTTGGCCACCAAGAATATAAAGAGTTTCTTTTTGAACACGATCGATGAGCATTTCAATATTATCATCAGTAACGGTTTGTAAAAGATAGTCAATAGCAAGACAAACTGTAAGACATGAAGCGATGCATCGAGAATCGAAAGGAGTTACTTTACACATAGATATAGCTGTTGATTTGACCTGAACACAAAAATAAACTTATCATGGATCATTTGTGCGTTTCCATGATTCATATCCATTGATCAGTATCATCAGTCCAATCATCTCATCTCCAACGGCTTGAGTGAGCAGTTAAGTGATAGTTAGGAAACGGAATTATTTGTGTGGTATCAGGATACATAGTAAGTACTGTTCTTCGGTTTTCAAATTCCGTCGATAGACCATATGCATCGCCTAATGCCTGCCCATAAGCACAACCCAGAAGGCGATCGATAAGATCAGTTTTCTGTATTCTTTTTAATATAGGATCAAGTAGATCTTTTTCATCAGAGAGTTAAGTAATACTTGTATCTTCAGATTCGGTGGAAACATTACTATTATGTGACACATGATAGTCATTCAAATTTTCAATTTGATCGGTGATGCTCACGTCCATAGGTGTTGGCTCGCTATGATATTGAATAGAAACAATCGCTTTATAGTAAAATCATTTTTTTTGTGTTTTTTTGTAGTTTCATGATGAATTTTTAAAGTTGATGAAAACAGATTCTAAACAAATGAATACATTCTTATCTTTCTGTTTGACTTCGAACTGACTTCACAGTTACTAAAACATATAAGCAGTTCGCAATGACGTTCTTCAAAAAAAGTTTCTTAAAGAGATGATTAATAAAAATCTATTGGATAGCTTATTATTATAGCTATTTCTGTGTCGCTCTCAATTGATATCAAACTTAAACCACACATTCAGACGATTTGTGTGCTTTACTTGGAATTTCGCTGCAATGATTGCTTGGGGTGAGTTTATTTGGAGTATCAGGAATAATTACAGTTGAGTATTTGTGGTCAGCATCATTGCCAGCATACAACTTTTGGAGCTTGTATTCTTCGCTGCTAATAAGTATCGTACCTGTAGGTTTGTTGTTTCGATTGTCAGCCATATCTACACTGGTTGCTATACATGTGGCAGAATAAAACAAAGCAGAGAGGTAATAGGGTTTTTTTTTTGTTGAATTCTGAAAGAAAAGAAACGCGTTACATTTTATGGCCATGAGTGTGTCATCATTATATATTCGAAGAAGCAAACATTTTCAGCTCGACCTGCAAAGAATGGCAATGTAAAACACAACAGACACTTAACGTTTTTCTTACTGTAGGTAACGTCAATAATTTCTTTTTTTCATGACTGATTCATGCTGTGAAGGTATTGTTTGCTTTCTTTATTTTTCTTCTTCCTTTGAAAGTTGGAAAGTAGAAGACCAAGTCTTCTTCTTTGAGAAAAATTCACTTGACTCCAATGGGATAACCAGAATCGATAGTCATGCTTTGTCTCACTTGCAAAAGATTTTAATTACGTAGAAAATTGCATTCAAATTTCAGAGCATGATTCAATTAACTGAATTCTTAGTTTAGGTATACGTTAATGGAGGTCACCATAGAGTGAAGCAATTCATAGATAGAAATACTTTCTTTTGGTAACAATCAATTATTCAAGCCTACTATTTCCATTGTCAATAACTACTAGACTTTCGCTTGTTCTTGTATAAGTAAAGATAAGATTGGTATTTATACAGCGTAAAAGCTGAACGTAGAAACTTTCGACAACACAGATTCACAAGTACATGTGAAATAATAAAACACAAACTTTGACAGGGCCTCATTTTTTGGACTATGTCATGGAAGCTTTGTTAACAATAAAATGCGAACAGGTCGATTTTGTTTTTTTTTTCTATGAATGCTAGCCATTGTATTCACTTCGGTGCCGATGACGAATGTAAAATGTAAAATACGTCAGTAACAGAGAATCTTTTTCTTCTTCCTACAAAAGAAGAAAAATAAGTCACCTACTTATGCAACGATTTGAAAAAGAATCGTTGATTGTTTGTTGCAGACGACCATGTGACTCTTGAATATGTAGAAAAAGAGCGCTTGCACAATGGAAAATAGTTTTCAACTACCTTTTACTCCTCTTTCTGGTTTGCAATTCGAATCATTAAAACGACCATTTACAAAAAAGACGTGCACATGTAACATCGAAGTGTGTGAGGTAATTTTTATTTTTAGATTTACTTTTTTTGATCGATTTAAAATGGCTACAAATAATGCATTTCATCGATTTATACAAGTTGAGTGGGAAGATAAAAAGGTTTTGCCCATCGATGGATTAAAAACAAATGAACGCCTACAAGCCATAACACAAGCTCTCCAACGAGCAAGTCACCGTCTTCTTCATGTAGACGCTTATGTGGAAGGTGCTGAAGAGCATTTTAGTGGTAATAAACTGAGCGGACTTACCTTCGACGAATTTGCCGCCGTGTATGCGTACACGAGAGAAATGGGTGAAAAGAGTTTATATGCGTTACTGAATCAAGCATTATGCTCTGAAAATAGTGGAACGCTAAACACGTGGCTACAATTTCTTCGATTATTATATTCTGCAGCTAAAAAATTGCCTGATTTTCAAGGGAAGTGTTTTCGAATCGGCAAAGCTGAATTCTTAAACCAAATCAAATCAAAAAAACATGTTACTTGGTCTGGTATAAGTTTTTGTTCAAGAGATTCAGACTTCATCATGAAAAAGTGCCGTGACCAAAAAGCAATACTCTTTGTGATCAACGCCATCCATGCCAAAGATATTTCTAAATACTCATCTGATCCTGATGCGAAAGAAGTTCTTCTGATGCCAGGCACTCGTCTGAATGTGGAGCTCATCAAACGAGATCAGAAAAATAGTAACTTAACGTTGGTATATTTAGAAGAACTATATACCTTACAAAATGAAGCAGAAACATCTACTCAGATGAAACCAAAAAGTCAATTAAAACAAGAACCATATCGTGAGTATTGATTTTGTATTTCTACACCAGATTCTGAAAAGGAATCAAATTGATAAAACAATAGTTCTTTACCCCCTTTTTGCCAATTACACTACAGTACCTCTTTGTCTCTCTTCATAAATAATGAAGTCTGCAAGCAAGTACGCCAGGAAGTCTCTTGATATTTTGGTAAACTTTCTAGGCAAATCGATTCTAACAGAAAATACTTTTTAAACGCAATAAAGTCTCGAGAAAAAGCAGTTGATAGACTTTTTGAGAGTCTTTATCCAATATCTACTAATAAGATTGTAGCATAATCGAACAAAAGATCCAGTAAGATAAGCACATATGTTGCGTAGAATATAATGAATAAGAGAACGTTTCAATAAAACACTTCAATAAAAAATTAAAAAATATGATAGCTGCTAAAAAATAATTGAACTTGAAAGGAATATGCTTTTAATTGCAAGAGATATTTAGTCGTATGATTATACGAAGCTAACTACAGTACTTGAAAGGTATTCAATAAAAAATGTATTTGAATTTTGTAATTGCAACAAAAAGCCCCATGAAGTAATAATTAGATGTAAAATCTTTGATCATGCAGTTTTATAAGTACAAAGTTTCAATCGAATACTGAATTCGGATCTATTTTAACATCTTATGATAGATATGTCCTGTAATTTTATATTGCATATAAATCTATTTGACTTTTTATGTTAGAAAATACATTCACTGGTAGAGCTATGCCTAGGCTACAGAGTCACCATATTGAATCAATAATCACTTGTCCCATACTATGGATGCAGTTCAAATGCCAGCACAAGTGCATTACATATGCATTCGAAAAGCAGTAGTTTTGGCCTTCTGATGAGCAAAGCATTAATTTGAAGAATGAATTTTTGATCAAGTATATGCAGAGTATGAGTGGGTGAGTGGTTGAGTGAAGACAAAAAGAAAAGCAGCATTCTCACTCCTAACACCGACGTTCATGCCCATACTCTCATGTATTACACATATAAATAGTGCACCGAACATTTACTTTTATAAATAAGAAAATTCTTTAATCAAAACATTCTATATGAAAGAAAAAATGAGGTGAAGCTATTAGTTTATTTATCTCTATTGATTGATAATAAATATCTTGCCGTCATTCCATGACACCATTGCGTCAAGAGACCTTAATACAATCGATATGTTTTTTTTTCGGCCATCCGTGACTAGCTCTATCACAAAAACTTGTTAATCTTTTCCGAAGTTGAGTTGTATCTCAAACGAAAATATTTAGAAGCCATTTATCAATCAAACCGATTTAAAATGATTGATCACGAGAACAAGCTAATAAAGCCTGTCTACGAGAATTTGACGTATTCCAATATGACACTCGACGACGCTGTTAAGTACTTGCCAAAAAATATTCGATATTTGGATAGTCTCGTACAGGAAGCTAGGAACGACTTTGGTGATAGGTCAGATGAGATGGCTGCTGTGCAGTTATATGCAATGGAATGGGGAACCGAACCTTTGTGCAAATTATTTAATAAAGCACTTAAATCTGATCGTCAAGACGAACTGAAGCCTTGGCTTCCTTACCTTCAATTATTTCGTGCTGGAGTTGAACGCTTACCCTCATTTAAGGGCGCATGTTGGCGTGGCACCAATAAAAATATAGGAAGCAAGTTCACAATAGGTCAAACCGTCATTTGGCAGGGAATCAGTTCATGCTCGAAATCTCTAGATTTCATCCTTAAATATTGCGTTGGCGCAAGCGGAACACTTGTCAAGATCGATACTACTAATGGAAAAGACTTTTCCCACAAGACACTTGATCTCGTTACAGAAGAAGTTATTCTGATGCCTGGAACTACTCTAATTGTAAAGAGGGTTGCCTTGTATTCAGATAACAGTAATATCACTTTCGTAGAACTAGAAGAAACAATTGACAAAAAGCATGACGAAGTCGCACCAATTGCTTCGAAACCGCTGGCTTCATCACTTGCCAATCGTACGACTAAGTACCCTTTCTTTTAATTCGAATATTTGTTGCTGATACCCATTTTTTTTCTTCTTCTGATAAACCGTAAATTCAGCATTGAGAAAAGGATCTGTATAAAAATCAAACATAAAATCAGTATACATCTACGAATGATGAAAGCTAATGGAAATACCGATTACTTTTGATAG